AAACCCAAAGTCCTAAACCCTAAGCCTTAAACCCTAAGCTGTCTACTTCACCCAAGAGAGTCAGAGCGTGCCAGGACCTGCTCGGGAGAGTTCCGGAGCTGGCAAAGCCAGGGACTGGGCTGCGCCGGGAGGCTAGGCCTGTGGGGCTTCGGGTTTAGAGGGCGTTATGGGTAAAGAACCCTATTCTAATTATTGAGGCCCCTATATTACTGACGCCAAGCTTCAAAAGCCTTAACATATGAGTCCTTAGAGGGCACGGGTAAGGGTTCGGGGTCTTCAGCTGAGGGTTTAGGGCTCTGGGTCTAGGATTTGGGGTTGAAGGGTTTAGGTTCTGGGTTTAGGGTCTCGGGTTTGGGGTTTCGGGTTTAGGGCCTAGGGTTTGGGTGTAGGGTTTAGGGTTTACGAATCTTGGACTTCGGAGCTTCTAACGCGAAACAGGCGGGCTGCGCATGGGAGACAATGGATCTCCAAGATGTGACTCGGCAAAGCATGGGGAATCAAGACTACAAAGGGCTTCTACAGGCTTCTAGACGGGATCAGGGTTTAGGGTTTAGGGTCGAGTTTAGGGTTTCACGGTTTAGGGTTTAGGGTTTAAAGGTTTAGGGTTTAGGGTTTAAGGTCACAACCCCAACACTAACACGATCACCCATGTCCTCAATGCTTATTCGTGGCTATACCATTTCGGGGGTTCCTTGTCCCTAAAGCCCGAACCCTGAACCCTTTCAGGGTTATGGGGTTTAGGGTTTGGGGTACGCTGCACCATGAACCCTCAACCCTGAGCCATTATGACGAGTGGAAACTCTAGACCGGCATGAGCTCGCGCCCTCTCAAAGGTTTAGGGTTTAGGGTTTGGGGTTTAGGGTTTAGGGTTAATCCACACCCCAATCCCTAAACCCTACACCCTGAACCCTATACGGCCCTAAGCCCTAGACCTTGAACCCTAAACCCCAAAGCCTAAAAACTAATTAACCCCCTAACCCTCAACCCGAAGAGACCAAAGCTCACATCATGGATGCCTAGCCCTACCCACAAAGAGCCTGTAAACCCACATAACATAGGGTCCCTTTATACTTGTCGTATACCACTAACCCCAAACCCCATTCTAATCCTTAAGGCCGTTATAACCCTAAACCCTAAACCCTAAACCCTAAACCCTAAACCCTAAACCCTAAAGCCTAAGGGTCCTTCACAGCTATGTCAATTGCAGAAGTCTGGAGGTTCGACGTTGCGGTTTTCAGCCACCGCCTCAGGGGCGTAGGATTTATGGGTTCCGAGGTTATGGTGTAAGAGTTGAGGGTTTAGGGTTTAGGGTTTAGGGGTTTAAGGTTTAGGGTTTAGGGTTTGGGGTTGGGGTTGTGTGTAGATTTGGAGCAACACCGGGATTTTGACGCGTGCCACCCGAAACACCTTTG